CGGAGCGCTGCTGCTGCTGCTCCTCCTTCCCCTTCTCCTCCTTCCTCGGGGACGCTTTTTCCCCGCTGCTGTAAACTAACAGCCAGGTGAAAAAGAGCTTTTAGTCTCCCTGGCGGTAGGAGGGTTCACCATTTGGCATGCTTTGTAGTAAATACTGAACAAACTAGCTGCAGCCGGCAGTTACAACAGTGTTTTTGGCTTTGCTTCTTCAGAAGAACAATCCACTCTCCTTTCTGACTTCTTTATCCAATCAGCATTTTTTCCTGGTGGATGTCAGATTTCTAAATCTTACTACTTGTCAGAGGAGACGCGTGTAGCAAATTTTCCGCTACTGTGAACTCATTTTGCATTAACTTTTAATTCAAGCTAATTTAATAAGCATTAAACATTTAGAAGGAAAGAGATGTCTTTTTGTTTGACTGAAGGGGAAATTAACTTAAAGGGACAAAATTCCTATTGAGTTAAAGCCATTCAAAATTATAAATAATATTCTATGCTGTATATTATGTAGTATATACTTTTATATCTACAAGTAATAATAGAATAACATTAAAAATATGAATATAATAATATTAATATAATATGCATCAGACAGAGGCAAGAAAGACTTACTTTCAGTGGAGGACAGGTGAAGGAGTAGGTTAAAGGAATGCTGCTGTTGCCTGTAACTTGGGCCCCACTGAAATCAGGAGATGTTTCCCCGTTTGTTTCAGTGGTTAGGGCCTTGCCCAGTGGGAGCAGAAGTTGGCCAATGCTGAGTACTGAAAATCCCCTTTTTTCCTTCCCTGCCTTGAAAGGATTGTTATTAAAGAAGAGAGTATTAAAGGAATTATATATATATATGCAAAAAGAAAAAAAAAGGATATATTGCAGTAAGTTATTTTAGCATTTTTTTTCCTTTTTTTATCAGTTAGGAGCAAATGTTATCCTTTGATGAACCCCTTCTGGCATGACAGTGTAAACATCACTGCTTCACACAAACAGCTTTTATGTGAGTAACTTTTATATTATTTCTATACTTCCATCCATTTCTCCCTCCCTCCTTGGCCACTTACAAGGTTCCGTTTCTGATTCAGAGGGGGAGACTCTGTGAGATAGTGTTTTAACTATGCTTCTGTGCAATATCTGTCACTGCATGTGATCTCTGAGTGTGATTACAGTTGAGATAATCAGATGTCAAATTCAGGTAATTTCTTCCACAGCATCAAGATGTTTTTGCCCAGCATGGCTCAGGAAAGTACATGACTGTTAAAAATAAAGGCAAGAATTTTCAGAATTCCACCAGAGAGTTTAATCCCTTAAAATGCTTAAGCACATGCTTAAGTTCATCTGAAAGGTAGTTAGGCATGTATTTATCTACCCTTTCGGTGGGATTCCTTGCCCTGAACAAATCTTAAGCGTTCAGGAAATTAAGAAAATAAATCAATAATTAAAAAATAGTGTTCAAAGCCTTTGAAGAATATCATGTTCAAAAAGATTATTTAAAATGTCTAAGTGCATAGATTAGTATTCATTTCTTTCTCTTTAGATTCACTTGTGGATATGTCAGAACGTTTTCAGAAAATCTAAACTAAACAGTTTCAAAAGTTATTACACTTCTAATAAAAGATGATTTAGCTCCTTCACTTTATACTTTACTCGTACAAGAGCTTGTATTTGGGCTTGTTTTTTTATTTCACTCTCCTTTCTGATTCTAGTTGTGTTCCCCTTGCAGGCAGAATGTATGCTTTTGTCATGTGCTTTCCCCAAGCAAGCCTTTAGCATTTCTTTGGGCCCTTGGAGCAATATCTCAAGATACAACTGAAAATGCAGCAAAGACAAAATAAACCCATGGGATACTGATGCTAACATAGTTTTGTTGCAACAGGAACTGGAAAGTGTTAGTAGGAATAAGATCCCAGCAAGCTACTGAAACAGCAGTACAAACATGTTGACAGACTCAAGACTAAGGACACATTCTCTCTCTATGCTTTTAAATTTAAAGGTGCCATTTGCTTAATCTTTCTTGCCTAAGACAGAGGATTGTTGCTATTTGATGTTGCTGGAAATAGTGAGGATAAGTCAAAATGATTGTTTGCTGGATCACTTAGTCCTTTGAGGGTTCGAAGTTAACATTTCAGTGAACCTAACCAGATATAAGATAGGAGTGTGGACGCCTTAACTATTATATTAGGGATAGCTTAAATTTTGGGACAAAAGTATTAACTTTTGAAAAGCTATGTTCACATTTGCAAAAGCTACATCTGCATTTTTTCTCAGGAAAGGAGATTTTGTATTACAACCCTTTAGCTAATGCTGGATTCTGCCAAAACACAATCGGAGACTATATAGAGCTCTTTTTATTATTAAAATGGTGCTGGCTTGGAAACAAAAGACAGCTCTTCACTTGTCATGAAATGGTAAGGAAATAGTGACTGTGAATAAAAATTGGATTCATAACTATGTTTTCAGACTCTTCGAAGCCTCAGAGAAATGTGTATCTCTTCCTTTCTCACATCAAGTACTATTTCTAGGCTCCTGGACGGACGTCAGGCCTGCAAATACACTTGCGTGTTTTATTAGAAACAGGGGTAGCCTGCCCCAAAATGACAAGATAAAAGGTCAGAGATAGTTTCATTAAACGAATCTATTAATTTTGGTTAAAATGCTCCACCAACTGGACTTCTGAGTTTTTTTTCAAATGTACAGTTTCAGTTCGGTGAGGATACAGACTCATAGCAATAGCAGCTGAATATAGGAAATGTCTTGTCAGTACTTCTTACTTATAGGAAGTATAGATGATTTCTAAGCGTCATCTAGATTTGTTAAGTACTGAGATATTAACATCTGCTTCAGCCTTATACTTCTTAAGTATTTTCTGACTGTACTCACTGAATCGTATTTACGCAGATCAAGGCAAACTTAGACCTTCATCTACCACACATTTTAACTAGAATTTTAGAGGACAATTGTGGGTTGCTGAATTCAGTGTAATTACAGTCATTTCTTCATGTGTAGCAGTCTGGGGCAAGCAAACCAATCGCACAGCTTTAATCAAAGTTGCTTCAAGGAAATATATTTTGTGTGTGCGTGCGTGTGACATGCACATGTGTGTATGAGGCACATTCAAATGAAATTAATCTCATTCTATCTCCTTATTTGTCCGTATTGCTCACTGTTTCATTGGCAGACTGAATTTCAGGAGTTCCAGTAAAACCAGGTGTGTTTCTTGCCCATTACTCCCAATACGAAGGTTTAAAAGAGCTGTCTCCTAATGCAGGCACTTTAGTCACACGTCAGGAATCACATCACTCATTGTTCAGTGTTCCAATACTCTTCTTGGCGTGTCTTAGCTGGACAAAAGTGCCAAAAAGACAGGAGGAAGTCCATATGTGAGTGCAAAGAGCTGGGTCTGAGTGGAAACAGAAGTGCTCGTCGCTGCCAGAAGACAAACCTTCCATTAGAGAATGAAAAGCCTTCACGTTCCATCCTTCCACTTTTCCAGTCTCTCTCCTATTCATCCCTAGCAGTTTCTTTTTAGGCTTATTGTGTACTTCAAATAGAGCTCCTAACAAATTCGAAAAGTTAGGTGTACAAGTTAAAGTTCTGTTGCCAGCAGCAGCATTACTCAGGCAATCGAGCTAAGTCTTAATAACCTTGATAGTATGATGTATTTTCACATCACTACAATACTCTTGAGCAATTTCTCAAATGGTTCAGACACAAACATGCCTTCTCCTGTACATTAGCCTTCCATTTCTTTTCCCTCCACTCTCTTCAGCTGAACATATAATGTTCACACTACATGATGTATCATGCTACATATGATGTATCACACTACAGAATACGTATGGGATGGTTATATATCCTTTTAAAACATCAGCCACTGTCTGAAGAAAGATGCCAGTAGACTACTGCCACTTGCATTTCTGCATTAAAAAGCATGCTGTTTACTGGAGATGTAAATGAGGCAGAGAAAAATGTAAAAAATTTTATGCACTATCATGAAAAGATGCGTTTCTCAGTGGAAATACCTCTAAGGACATAAAATGACTATTATTTCATTTTTCTGCATCTGTTTTGTTAATTTGACTTAATGGAAGCCTGTCAGTTTCATGCAGAAACTGAAAAGCCAGTTGTGTTTCTGGGCGCTTCTTTACAATTGTGTTTAGCAAAACAGCTTGACTCTATGTAGCACTTTCCTTTCCCAAATGATGTTTTAAGGGAAACCATTCAGCCAAACCTGAAAAAAAGTCAAACACGCTGCTGTTACCTTCTGGAACAGCAAGGACAGTTCAGCTACATAATAGAAGACAGTGGTATAAGTGTAAGCAGGCGAGATGTCCCCATTTTCTTTTGTGCATCTGCCGTAGACTTTTTACTCCAAGTAGACTTAATCTCTCCGGAGACAGTGCAACATCTTCTACCATGCTGGGTCATGTAATCAAAAATAGATTCAGCAGAGTCGTCTGATCAAGCACTCTTAACGCACAGCCTCTGGATATTGCTTCTACTTACACTACTGCAAAATAGACATGATTAAAATGAAAGTGCCACTTTTCACCGTTCAGGCAGTGATTAGGGTGTTTTGGTGACCGTTAGGGTTAAATATAACCCTTTGAAAGTCACCTGTAAAACTGAAATCTGTCAGCAAAGGCACAGCTGAACTCTTGTCTTACCATGTGTTCTCCTGTGTCAGCTGAGGGAGACAAGACGAACTGTTTTCATGATGAGCCCATTCCAGCTCTCACTAAATGGAAATAAGAAGATGTCACAATGACTTCAAAGGAAATGGCATCAGGAGTTCTGAGCAGTTTTACCATCTTCCAGGACAAGAAATATAACATTCAAAATCAGATCTAATATGTCAAGGATCAAATACAGAGAGAATCACAGAATGGCCAAGGTTGGAAGGGACCTCTGGAGATCATCTAGTCCAACCCCGCTGCTCAAGCAGGGTCATCTGGAGCACATTGCACAGGATCGCGTCCAGGCGGGTTTTGAATATCTCTGGGGAAGGAGACCCCACTACCTCTCCGGGCAACCTGTTCCAGTGCTCTGTCACCCTCACAGGAAAGAAGTTCAGATGGAACTTCCTGTGTTCCAGTTTGTGCCCGTTGCCTCTTCTCCTGTCGCCGGGCACCACGGAGAAGAGTCTGGCCCCATCCTCTTGACACCCTTCCTTCAGATACTTGCATACATTGATGAGATCGCCTCTCAGTCTTCTCTTCTCCAGGCTACACGAGCTCTCTCAGTCAGTTTAGCTCAGAGACCTGTGACTAGAGAAGAGTAGAAAGCTGAACCAGTAGTCCAGAGTCCAGAACTCAGCTAAGTATCTGGGAGCACTCCAGTCCTGTGAGCTCTCCTCCACTATCATCATTTCTCTACTGAATGGGAGGCAATGCAGGCCTTCATATCCCTGGGATTCTAGCTCAGAAGCCTTGCATTTAGCCACAGACAGCAGTTCTCTTCTATTGCTTACAGTTCATCTGGGTTGTTTCCTTCCTTCCCAGCAGGTCCGGCTTTCTGAGTGCACTGTTTCTTCCTAGTCCTGCCAAGCCTTTCCAGAGCAGCCCCAGTAACTGTTACCTACTGCCTGCATTCTGTTTGAGCTACAGGCTTTTGTGCAGCTCTTTGTGCAGCTCTTTGTTACAGCTGGGGAAGATAAACAGGTCCTTAATTAAACTCTTCTGAGCTGCTGCTATTTGGAGTACTTCTGATGAAATGACTATTTCAGATTTCTAGAGACTGTTTTCTATAATAAGGTGTGCAAACCAATCCAAAGTTAGTTTTAAACAATGAAGCTACAGCATGTTTTTAACAGGAGATTAACAAGACTGCTAGATCTGCAGTTGATTAGTTTTGATAGCATCCGATTTTCTAGTTCATTCCACAATTTTCTTTCACAAGCTACTTCTCATCAAGTACTGGCTTGGATGGTGATTTAGAAATATCTACCAGATTCACAGAAGACCTGGACACACACTGTGGATATCATTTTCACAGTGAGTTGGTCAGAGCTCTAATAAAACAGCCTTAGCTAGCTGATATAAAACTTCATGAATTCAAATCAAGCAAAGTATTATTTGGTACAAAAAAAAGAGCTTTTTTAAAATGTTTGTCAGCTTGTTTCAGTATTTTCAAAGTTAAACTGTTAGATCTTTTGGACTAGACTGACAGCAAACTCAGACATTATTCAGAAATAGATATGGGAAACCAGAATTCTGTTTTATGGGAAAGTGCATATACCTTTCCTTGTGCAAAATGCTTGGTGTTTTTCAATACTAGATTCATATCATCACAATGAAGACAGTTGTATTATATACCTAAATACATATTTCAGCCCAGCGTAAAAAGAAGCAAAAATGTTTGGCAGCAAAATTTATGTTTGAATTTCTCTCACAGATGTCTATTGAAGACAGAAGTACAGTAAAGATATTTTAAGTCATGTCCTTCCATAAACTAATTCTAGCCTTCTAATCGAGGACTATAATGGCATAATATCCTATGCCAGATGGCATGAATTCAGATTCTTGGGTGGTTTCCATGGCAGCATTTTAGAATAAGTTTCCCAGGCAGTTGCAGATTGCATAGAAGAGGCACAAATAAGTATTAGGTGTTGAAGTAGAACAGTGAAGGTGATAAAAGTGCTATTTAAGCAAATACAGTACAATTAACCATTTCATGTCAAAAGAGCTGCAGGTGACTCATGAGAAATATGACTTCAGCTCTATGTAGGAGAATCTGTTACAATGGCATTTATGGGTGTTACCTGAGATATCCCTGAAATTTATTTTCAGTGGAGAAGGAATAAAAATCAGAGTCCTTCTGATGTTGCATGCAACTATCACAAATGTGACATAGATTAATATAATCTATGACACTGTCTACTGGAAATGCTAAGGCCTCTATCACTCTGCTAACCCACCTGGAAACAGGAGAATAATCTGGTATGGATTTATGTTCCTCCTGGTACAAAAGAAAAGGTTACATGCAGAGCTTCGCCCTTTTACCCACACTTGTCCTAGCTAAGGTAACAGTCCTAGCTGCGTTAGCTGAAGTCTGCTGAATGCTGACTTTCCACAAAAAGGAAAGTCAGAGAAACAGCAACACTTGGCGCTACTCTCCTGAGATATAGTTTGTTAACAGCAACTTTGCCTGACTGGTGAGGGACATCTAGGAAATCACAAAGCGCAGGCCCAACCGTGAGCTCATTTATATGGCTGATGTCCAAAAAAGTCGGGTCTGAAGACAGAGGTGCACCATTCTTGCATTCTTACTCTTTTAATTTCAATTGTATTGGACTTTATCTCCTAAAGGTCTGTTCACCTCCTATCTGCAACACCAAATCTAAGAGGATATCAACATGGTCAGGGTTCAAAATCAGGCCTAATGCTCTTAGGAAGCACAAATGGGGCTGAAGAGTAGCCTGTTCTTGCCACCTCTGAAGAAAACGGGGACTAAATTGTGTACCAAATCTCTTCTGTCACATCCTGCCACATCATATCCCTGATAACCAGTTCTAACTATATAAAACTCCAGAACTAAGTTCTCTGGCTATTTCTCCTTCCGATATTCAACTAAGATTTGTGAACAGTCGTGACATACTGGTTTATTATACATAGTAAGCTGAAGATTGATTTGAATGTTAGTGTCTGAGAACTCCTAGCAGGTTGTGTTTCTTTGCCAACAGCAGGAGTCGTGGCTACTTATGTTGAAGGAAAACTCATAGAGTATCCTCAGACTTAGAAGCAAGGAGATGAAGTAGGACTTATCTTCTGTGAGAATATGGCTCCGGAATAAATGAAAAGAAATAGAGGAGCAACAGGGTCTCTTCCCCAAACCTTGCCATTTGTTACCAGGGTGCTTTCTTATGTAAAAAAAGTATTTTTTAAGTTCAATCAGTATATATTCACCTAATATTTTGCCTCAATAGGTTTTGTTAGCTCAAATATTTGAAAGGATTCCTCCACCATTAAGAAATACATACGTAAGCCCTTGGCCCTGCAAGGCCGCCAAGATGACTCCAATTGCAGTACTAGAACTGAAGCAAGATACATTGCATTTTTTTTTCTTAGCCTCAGGGCAAATTCCCTTTTAATTTACACCAACCTTCTTCAACTCACTTGAGTGGATTTACAGTAGTACCAATGAGGAATGTGAGGAAGAAGTGTTACTTTCATGCATTAATTGCTTTGTCCAAGAAAGAGGAAAACTGAGAATTAGTTTGCAGATTTTTCTTCTTTGTACAGAAAGTAACAGGAGAATAATCTGTACCCTTATTAACAAGGTAATAATCAATCCTTACCTAATTGACAAAGTCAAGCTGGTGTTGCAGAGCAGTACTTAACAAAGCACAGCTCCACAGCAATAGAGTAAATTAAACTAATTTCTCCAAAAGAGCAAAGCACAGAGGCAGCACAAGCTGATCTACAATTATGTCATCTTTATCCCGATACTGAAGAGGATAGCCCAGATCCTTAGCCAGTGGAAGGCAGTGTACCTCCACTTCAATTAGGAGTTAACAGTGGTTAAAAAAAATGGATCATCTGATCACACACAAACTCTGATCTCATAAATGACTCCTTTTCCTTGGGGACTAGCTAATGTGGTGTTGTTCCTCTGTGAAATTAAATGAGATGCTGGAGCCCGGAACTCCTCAGAAAATGGAATTTAAATTTTCTTTTCCCGGTAACTCTGCTCCTGATTCTGGTATGAAATAAATGGATCCTGTGAAGCTGGAATTACTGTATTTTTTCTTCTTATTTTTCTAGGAAAGCATTGTGGATAGATGACTTTTGATTGCATGAGAGAGAACAGTGAGACAAAGACGGTGTATGATGGAAATAACAGCATGATAGAAAAAAATACATAGCAACCCACTGTTTGCACAGCTATTAAAATGTTATAAGGATCAATAAAGACACATGTAAAACATTCAGCATGGGAGGAGGCAACCAGGATAAGTTAATGTACTTAGTGAAGCTGCTATACAGAACAATAACAGCCAGAGAGCGAGAGCTGAATGGGAAATTTTTCTTCTACTATTAGCCTGTTGTTCAGCTGCAACAAGGAAGAGGTCAGCAATTTGCTAGCTAAATTCAGCAGAGAACACCTGAGAGAAAAGAAAAGGTTTAACCAGAGCGTCTGCTGGATATCACCTCCCACACAGAACAGTGCCACTCACTGGGATAGGTATTATTCAGATAACCAGGGTTACTTTTGATTAAGGTTGCCAGTGACTACCTGGTATGCAGTGCACCATCTATTATCTTGTTAGGCTTAATATTTGAGAACAATTTATTTGATTAAACATGTCCATGTAGACATAGCCTTTATCTTTGTGGTGTCTATTTGAAACACCGTGATCCTGTGAGAGGCTCACTCTTTATAATACCTTTTTCTCTCTACATTATTTGTCCTGCCTATTTAAACTGAAAGTCCCAGAGATCGTCCAGCTCCTTGTTTACGCACCATCTGGCAGAATAAGACAGTGATCCTGATGAGGGGCTATGCATTTAATAGTAATACATCCAATGACACTATAATAAGATATTAACATTCTTCGTTTTTCTTTAGACATGCATGGGACATTTGCCATCCTGATGCCCCTCAGCCTGATATTGATGATTTTTGGAGGAATGACTGGATTCATCAGTATTCTTGCCAGGGCCTACCTACTGCTTCTAATGACGGGGCTGCTTTTTCTTTTTGGAGGTACTATATCAAACTCCTGGCTTATTCATTTTAAATATTAAGAGATTACATCTGGGAAACATTCCTTTGCCTGCTAGGGAAAAGAGCTAAGCAAGAGTTTGCTTTCAGAATAATGCCAGTGTGCATTCACTTGGTGCCTAACTCGGCTCCTGAGGGGTTTCTGGAACAGAAAGCTGCCACTTACAGCCAAGAAAGGCACAGCCATATGCCTTTGTGGAGTGAGTCATACCTTGAACACAGTCTGTTTGTTGTATCCATTAATACAAAGGGTTAAATACCTTCTCAGCACATTGCCCAACTCTTCACAGAGAGGATTTTACATCTGAAGTAATGGAGAAGTACCTTTGGAACCAGGAAAGCCTAGGGTTCAATAGCCTTGCACTGATCTTACAACTACTAAGATAAATGATATTTTTTCAAAGGTGTTTGCATAGAGTTCCTGACAAGTGTTTTGTTAGGGATTCTTGGGTTAGCTTTATTGTTAGGTTTGAACGAGAGTATTTTCCCCAAACTCTGCGGGGTCACAAAGGCCTTCAGCTCATTGCACCACCCCAGCACAGCCTACCACAGACAGCTTCAGGTCACAGCAGCGGGTTCTAGGACTTCAGTGATTTGTAAGAAGGCCAAACACTGTACGGGGAAGAAGCTGAAGATTACTTGACCACTATGTTCAAGTGTAACACTGATAAAAGAAGTTCCTACTCTAATCAGAAGGTTGATTTTGGGAGTAAGTCATAGGAAGAGTTTTCTGTTTTTTCACAAATGCCAGTTGCACAGGATGTTCTTTGACAAATATGATGAACTTTTATACATTTAATATAGGTTATCTTTGCTCTAAAATAACATGAGAGTTCTTCTGTAATCCTAATTAGACAGGGCTTTGTTCACACCAGCAACAGAACTGAGTCCTAATCCTAGCTCCAGCTGAGGGTGGGACAGGAGTCTGCCTCGGCCTATATTAGTCTGCCAAGGATCCTGAACAGCACTGCCCTGTAAAGTCACCCTAGGCATAAAACACTTCCCCTTTTTCTGTCGTTAGCTGGACTAAGAACAGCAGCACTGTTCACATGGAGGATGAGTGCAGTTACTGCACTCCATCCAAAATCCACTGAAATCTGCCTACACGTTGCTACCTTAGCTACCTGTTACCTGCCAGTTCCTGGCCCTTCTGTCTTCATTTAATAGTGACAGTGTTACCAGCCTCTTCATAACCAGCCTTTTGCTGGGGATGGAAATTTCATTTTGCTCTTATTTTTATTTTTCCTATTCAGATTAGTAGATTTAAATTTAATGTTTTGAAATTCTCACAAAAGAAAACCCCAATGAATTTATGTTAGTTGAAGTGCAACATTTCATTTTGAAGCAAGTCAAACTCTTTTAAATTAAAGAGTTTTAAATTAAACTCTTTTAAAGCTGCATTCGCTAAAAAGGTGTATTTAGGCCATTTGGAAACTGATGTAAATAGTAAGTGAAAGAAGAAAAGCTGTGAAATATAGAGCACGATTATCCCACTGAGGAGTGGAGTTCCATGCCTTTCTAAGACTCTTGGATTTGCAAAGAGGGAAGAGAAACACAGAGACAGTATTAGGAGAGTGGCATTATAATTTGTTCTGAAGATGCAACTAGTGCTGTTTCCCAGGACAGCATGGACAGACTGGAGGCTGGCCTTTGGTATGAGACCAGACCGTCCTCCTCCTCAAGCAGTATGGTCTGGCTGTTTCAGCCGCACTGAGGCTTGATACATGTAACACATAAGCACAGTTCTGTAGGGTTTTCCAGTTCATGAAGTTTGGTAATGATAGATAATGCTGTCCCAGCAGAAAAATATCTTATGATGCAATTCCAGAAACTGAGTTTTGGGATTTTTTTGGAAAATACCAGAACAGATATGTTCCACATCCCAGAACATCCTACTTCCCCATTTCCTAAAGGCAGCCATATTTGAGAAGGGTCACAGAACCCAGCAAACCTTGTTGAAAACTTCAACAAAGCAGTCATTTTCATTTCTGCTAGCAAAAAGTAGAGAGAAGTGATGTTGGCCCCTTTGCAGAGGCCTAGCTAGAATAAGACACAGGCATAATAGCATGGCTAACATTGGGAATATGAATATGAATTTTGACTTAAATTTGTCTTCCTGCCAAAAACAGATATGCACCTTGACTTACACTGTGATTTAACATAAAGCCAGATAATTACACTGTGATTTAACATAAAGCCAGTCTTATCAGATAAGGCACTATCTTGTCCTAAAAATGTTCCAGTATCTCCTACTTTCCCTGGGCCACAGTCCTCTAATTCAGGGCTCTCCTATCTCTTCTTTCCTGCCTGTGATCCAGTAGAGGTGTGAGTTAGCTCGTATTCTTTGCCTGCCATAGATGCCAGGCCCAAGATCTAGCACCTACCTTTCTTAGATGTGCCATTCCCTACGTTTGCCAGCTTCTGTACCATCCTTTCATTCTGGAAACAACTGTTTGAGTTGTTTGACTCAACTTTTTGTTTGAGTGCCTTCAATAATTTATTTTTAATCGGCTCCGAGGATGTCTTTGGGTCAATTATTCGCAAGTGCTGATCAGCCAGGACCTCACAACACTTGTTGGCACTTGATGGTAAGGACCAACATGTTTATACTGAACACTCGAAACTTAGGATGCCCAAAATTAGAAACTAGCCTAAATTCAAGTCACTAACCTGAAGTGTGAGAATTGTTTTCCTCCATGGGATTTCTCAGATAAAAGTAGACAACTGTACGTGGCGCATAGCAGTGAGAGATTAGGACACGTTATAAAACAGTACTGAAAACTGATATTCACATGCATTAGATATTTGTAAAAGACATGACTAGATTTATAGGCTTACTGTTATACATTCTGATTCAGTATTTAACAATTAGAGCACAGTAAATCAAATGGACAGAACTAACCCTCCCTTTACTTCCCTCTGACCTTCCCCGAAAAACAGCCTCAACTAGATTTGAAAGGTAAACAGAGGCTGGTCAGGACTCCTGCCTAGGTAGATACAAAGGCTTGGCGAAGGAGCCCTAAGAGGTGTCAGACCAAGTAGTTTTAATTTCTGCAGGGGATCCTAACTAGCTGAATATATTTTTCTTTCCCAGCTCTTGTTACACTTACTGGGATCAGCGTTTATATTGCATATTCAGCTGCTGCCTTCCAAGAAGCGGTTTGCCTCCTGAGGAGTAAGGATCTCTTAGTAGAAATCGACATCAGGTTTGGCTGGTCTTTGGCACTAGTGTGGATCTCCTTTGCTGCAGAAGTGCTCACTGGGGCTGTATTTCTCCTGGCAGCAAGAGTCGTGGGCCTGAAACGGCGACGTGAACAGGCATTGTGAACAACAGGTATCAGTGGAACAACAGAATTCTGTAGAGCCTAGAAATGTGGATTGCTTGGCCTGTCTGGTCACTAGGGATAACAAAGTGGTTAGGCTGTGACTGAGAGTCATGCAAGCTGTCATAAACTCTTCTCCTCACATGCACCTGTGAAACACAAAGATTCTGATAAAGCTGTAAAACATTTCAAGTGCTCTCAATAAGGAACCCTTTGTGACTTTAGAAGAAAGTACATTGTACTGTTAGTGTTTCCAAAATAATTTCAGTTGGCAACTCATGAAACATCTCCATTCATTGCTTAGAACAAGACAGATTTCTCACTCTCTCGTCTCCTTTCTACTGTCCCAGCAAAGTGCCTCAGAGTACCTTGCAGGGCAGTCTGCACAGTCCAGTTAGCTTTTGGTTTTTACTTCTGAGTCTCCTAGTAAGTATGCCAACGATTGCAGTCATGTTGACAGCCTCTATCCATCAGAGATTGTCTTACTCCATGTCAGTTATGTGTAATATCTAAGGAGAGCCTTCAACCTGGAGCCACAACATCATGTTCTCTTTTTTAGATCATTATTCATAGGATGAAAACAAAGAAATGAGTCGATTTCTAAAATGAGCTTTGGTGCTATGAGTAAATGAAGGGATATAAAGTCTAGATGCTGTGAATGACTTGATGTTAGTTATCCTGCAGACAAGTAGTGACTATGGTGAAGTTCTTCTGAAGTGCAGTGTAATGGTGAGTCTACTTCAAGAGAAAGGTACAGCTGCTTTTCAGATGTTTTAACTAATTACTGCAGCCACTCCCAACCTGTCAGATGTTCAGGGTACGTGGAAGCCCATAGTTACCTCTTTCAACTTATTACTAGCTGCTTTTTCTAATACGTCATGCAGAAAACCTATGTGACAGATTTTCCAGTTTTTACTTAGCAATTTGGATGATGCCATTTGGCAAGTCCCTCGCTATTTCTACTGTAGTAGAAATGTGTTTCCTCCAGTAGTGCAAAAGGCATAATTTACCTACCTCTGTTAAATAACGAAATCATTTTATCATTGTTTCTTGTGCTAAAAATTGCATGTTTAGTCGTAAGGAAGTATTTACTCAGCTCAGCTCTGATCTTAGTCCCAATGAACCAAGTATTTTAGAAAAAATGATGAGAGAGAGCTTCCAAGAGCTTGCAGTCTTTGCAGATGTAAGGAAACATGATTACTACCATGCTGTGAATGGAGACCTGAGGCAGAAAAGGATTGAACCATCCAATGTCATATGGAACCAGAGTTCTCAATCTCAGTCTAAGGTCTTAGTTGGGGGACTTTTCTTGTCATGAGGATGAAGTTAGAAATTCTGAAATTAGGTGACTGAGCAGTATAAGACCTTTGAATAGCTAGTATAATTTGTACTTCTCAGTAGCTCTCACATTAGTTTTCTCAAATTTTCTGTGTTGCCTTACATTGGGACTGTACAGTTCAGTTGTTTTACAACTTAAAGCATACCAAATCAGCTCTATAAGGAAAGCAAGAACAAATCTTTTGTAGCCAAAATTCCATGTGCTTAAGTGAATTATTTTATGTCTTATGTAAAATGTAAATTCTGTGTTTAAGTTGCTGTTGAAGCTATTTAACATTATCAAACCATTTGTGTGATATTACTCAGACCTTACTGTAAGCTGTTATAGTAAAGTAACATTCAAGTTATTTTTAATGTTCATTACAGATGTTCTTTTACAGTGGTTTTGAATGGTGAAAAATTAAATAAAATGATATCTCAGAGCTGGGGATTATTTACAAAAGTATGGAAGATCTAAGATACCTATTTTTCTTTAACTTTTTTCTGCAGATCTATTCTACAGTTAATGTGATGCTTTTGAAGTGCCTATGTCACATGTGGTAGGTATTTATAAGATATGTATGCCACTACAGTAAAAAATACTCAGGTGATCAGGCAGATCACAAAGAGCTAATGAATTTGTCATTGAATTAGAGTAATTCTTATTTCTATGGCTTTCCTAAATGTCTCATTCTGGCTTTCTGCAATATCTGGCACAATGGTAATAAAAAGTGTTTCCTGCACCTGTAGATTTTTCTATAACCTCTGAATTTCTCTTAAATTCTTTCAGAATGCAAAAAAAGAAAAACAAGATTGTTTAGAATAGCCAACCAAGTCTTAAACATTTTGAAGAGTTATGCTAAAAAGGGAAAACATTCTGGTAAGGACTTCATCTGATTTGATACAAGTGATCTTTTCCATTTCTTAATCATACTGAAACTAACGGTTATTTAATACTCAGTTCTTTGCTGTATTTTCCCCAAAATGCATTACTGAGATGAGGAAACTGACTATTTCCCTTACCTTCTGGTAAATTATAAACTTACAGGTAATTGGCCACATTTAAAGTGAGGACAAATAGACATGATTATATTGAGTAGAGCAGAGCAAAGTTGTTTGAACTGGTAGAGTGCACAGAGCTATTCACCACTGCTAATTGAGAATCTACTTCGAGGGGTGGCGAAGGAGGATAGGAGAAGTCAAAGGAATCCTTAGGGGCTGGAAAACTTCAGATATACAAGACATTCAGAGGTGATGCTGATGAATATAACACAGAGAGATGCAACCACAAGAAGTCAGTATGGGTGCATGCTGTACTTGGGCTGGCTCCTGTTGCGCATTTTTGGATGTCTCTGCATCCCATTCCCTGATGACCAAGGAAAGATTACTGGTTACAGCTCTATGCAGTTATTGATCACTGATCCAAAGCCAATAGACCTGATTGGTTGAAGCTGACTTTATGAAGACACGTGATTCACAATTTCCTCCTTCCAAATAGTAAAGAATGGCAGGCTGGAAACTAAAAGGATGATCTGTCCATGCCTAGCTGTTCGGCAGCTAGAATCTGCCTAGAACTACTCCACTGAGATGACTGCCGCACAGGCATGCAGTGCCTGCACACTTCCTCAGGCCTGGGCTCATGTAGCCTTCCTAAGCTGTGAAGAGAGCGTATTACTTTCTGTCAAAGTTGACTGAAGCCATTAAGGAAAATGAACTGGCCCATGAGATTCCAAAGACTTAGATTTTCCAAAGCTTGATTTACACCTTGGAGATCTCTAGTAATCCTGGCCTCCAAATAACCTTATTTTGCCTTGTTTTGCAAATGAAATCCAATGGTCTTAACTGATTAAAATAGTGCGGATCTGAATCTGAAGACATTTTAGCCTGCTTCATAAATACAGATTTCCTTTCCTCTGATTCAGTTTGAAAATTCCTTAGAGCAAACCCGTTCATATTTAGCCAAGATACATCGGTAAAAATACGTCCCCCTTGGCTTTCTGGCTATCATTTTCATCTGAAGAGACTAAATTGACCCAGCTCAGGACCAAAAAGGTTAGAAAGTGCTCTGACTTTGTGCTACAGAATCGAACTCTCCCTAGAATCAGCATAACCATACTCAAGAGGGACTTCCGTGTGCCTCAGTGCTCCCAATTTGGCTCAATGAACATGGTGGTCAGCCCAGCAATTGAAAGCACACACTCGTTTGGCCAAACATTTTTGGAGGCCAGACGATGCTACCTTGAAGGCCAGGTTCAACCCACAGGATTCTTGCCATCCCTATCTTAGATTAGAGATCTTTAACTACTTAGGTTACAACAAATACTAAAACGGTATAGTACTGTTTTACTGTAATAGCTTTCTGCTGCTTTTTACAAAGCAGCTTTAATCCTAAGTAGGCCCTCAGACTTCTCCGTCCCTTTTTCTGCCAGTGTTTTTAGCAGTCCTTTTACTGTCTCCTTCCACCATTGGAAAGAATAGTGGTGGCAGATGCTACTAATAAAGCGTGCGTGTTGCTAGTAATCATAGTTTGAATGCCTGGACTATGGAGACTTTTTTTGTTTGTTTGTTTGTTTGTTTGTTTTTGCATTTTACACTGATTCGCCCAGAAACAGCAGTCTCTGCTGACATCTTGTGGCGACACTGAGCAGTTGCCTGTATTTGGAAATAAACCATTTTTATACCTAATTTTTCTGTATGGTTTGAAGAACAGAAGAGACTAGCATGCTCACTTGTCCTTAGCTCCTGTATTTTATAATGCACAGACTCTCATGTAGCAACTGCTGAATCCATGTCAGTAACTTGCTGCTTTAGGATGCGTCTCCCACCATCTGGCCATCTTAAATTGTCAGGTGATGGGAAACACAGTTAACCTTTCCTGTTTTTAAAAAGTATTACAAGACATTCTTAAAGTTTTTTGCTTTATTCTTTAGAAATAGATGCTACCGCCATTTTGCAGACAAAATTAAGTTTTGATTAGATCAAACAGTATGGGTTTTAGTTTACGTTTCTGGCATAAATGTCAAAGCTATTGAAATGCATCTGAGGCTTCAAATAGTGAGGGAAAAATAAATAGCTTTATATCATAGCCTATTTTCTAAATATAACAGACTGACTGAGAGTTGAACAACTGAGCTGCATAGGTTTCGGAACTAGTCAGGAAAATGGAGTGGGGTTCTGCAGGAAATAGCATGGTAGTGGTTTCTAGGGCTTTTTAGTTCTTTACCCTCTTGCAATAAAAAAGTTTTTTTTTTCCCACAAAATTCAGAAAGTTCTGCTCTCAGCATGAGCTGAGCAACTTCAGTGAAATTCACCAAGGCTTCATTGAATTTTGAATGCAACAATGGTCAAAATAGAAGAGACCAACTCTAACATCTCGCATCTACTAGGATTGATCTGCCTTTACTGGGGACTGTGGCAGCATTGTCCACCCCTGGTCTACTGGCATACCTCTGCATAGTCTGCTCAGACATGTCTGTCATGCTTCTAAGCCACAATATTAGAGTAGGGCGTCTCCTGTAAATATATTTTCTTATCTGTGGTGCAGGATCAAGTTGTTAGACTTGTATGTTGCACAAACAGTATTTTGGGGCAGTTCCCCTATCCCTGAACTGCAGTCCCCAACAGATGTGCAGCAGTTGGTTAACAGTCTGCAGGTATGTGGAATCAAGTATTAGAAGAAAAGGAAGAGGAATGCAATGTCATATCCCAAAGTAAAGGATGGCAGGTGTTTCCCTGAAGAGTTTTTGGCTCTTTATTTTACTGTTTTCATTTTTGCCAAGGACAAGGCAAACACTTGTCATGGAAGGCTGGGACGCTCTCTGTGTAATGTTCCCTAGGTGTTAAAAGGAACAGCATTTGCTAATGGCTTATGCTTCTGGACAACATATCTGGTTGCTGAAGGAGCTAACATATTTCTCCATCCAACCTAGCCTCCTCAAATATTTATAAGCTAGTGTTGTCTGCAGTGCCTGCAGCATACAGAGAGGCTGAATGTGGAGGAGTCTCTTTTCCATAGCCTTTTGGAGTTGGCTGCATCAGCATTGTGAAAACCCTTTGGCGTCATAAACCTGTTATTGCCACAGCTCCCATTTGCCTAGTATTATACAGAGAAGCATTTAATTATATTAAAAAACCACACAAAATAATTTTTAACTGTTGGGCAAAAAAACATAGAGGCAACAACATTTGTAGAGCTTACAAACCCAAGTCTTTTGAGTTGCTATTTGCATTTCTCTTTGGAAACACAGTGTATTACAGGCATGGCAACAACTGTAGCCAACAGACTTGCAAGCTGTATCTCCTTCCTGTTTGCGGCAAAATTCCCATTCGGTATGATGGGACCCTGATTTGGTCCAAGGTAATTCTGAGAAAATGGAAGAATTCTACATAAGGAGAAACTGAAAAGACCAGGTCTGTTTCATTCAGAGAAGTTAGAAATAAGAGACATGTTTAATATAGTGAACATTATAAAAATATAAATAAGATATTTCTTTCTCAAGGCTCAGGAATACAGCAATATTTAATGAAACCAAAAGAAGAAAGAAATGACGACAGGATGCTTTCTCAGCCAACAGAAATCAAGGCATTCACAAGCCTCTCTTAGATTCGGACTTTACCCACAGAATCGCTTCATGCTCAGTTCATCATTGTCTAAGCCTCTGCTGTAGTTTTTGCAAACACCCAAGTGACAGGACATGCTACTGTGAGTTGCATTTTGCTGAACAAGTAACAACTAAAAAAATCCTCTACTTGAATCATTCAACACCCAGATCATATCCAAGACATTGGTATCAGCCTTGAGGTACTCGGTACACGGTAGTAGTAGCGGTTTGAACCAACTTTCACTGACTGTCCTGTAGGCAGCCCTGAAATAAAAAATGCAAACGGGTAGAAGAGACATCATCATCAGTGACCCTGTCTTATAAGGAACTGTTCTGTTTGACTTGTGACTTGCTGCAGATGAGCCTGTAAGTGGAAGCTGGTATTAATAATCCAGCTGAATACCAACAGCTTTGCTGAATGGGCTAATTAACAAAATGGAAGCGTACAGAGTCTACTACTGTAGTGCACGCTTGCTTGTCAAATTAGCATGCAGAAACACATGACTGTTAGTCTGTAGCAGGAGCCTTGCAGGGTTGGCTTCCTCTTGCAAGTAAGATTTGTTATTCCTCTGCAAGGGGTCTCTGATTCACATCATGATTTGCCACAAGGCTCTTAACATCAGCAATGTAAATGACACAAAAGTCGAATTCCTGTCCAGGTAACCAATATAAAAATCAAGCCCCTGTTCCTCTGCCCTTCTTAGGCCCAGATGTGCCTCTCAGAGCCTGTCTTGGGTTCACCTTCCAGCTCTCCTTTTCACCAGAAACTCCTTTTACTCCTCTTTCTTGGCAATAATAGCAATGCAAAGGGACGCTCACAGTACAGCTCTGTCACCATAACAACTGGGATATGTGTCCTATAATTCACACTGCCCTCTCTAACTTCAAGGGCCTCTTCCTACACACAATCTAGAGCTCATCAATCCTACCCTGAGCAATCCTGCATTCTTTATTGAAGTAGTAACTCCTACATCCACACTTCCTAAAGCTGCCTCTCTGCCATTTTATTTCTAAAAGCCTGATTAACTGTGTACTCACCCATTTGGGAAGAGGATTGAATTTGAT